TTCGATGTACCATTTACACGGACCACAAGAGTTTGAGGTACCTCATGGAACAGCCGAATCTAAACATGAGGCAACATCGATGGTTGGACGTGGTGATGGATTATGATTGTTAGATCCTTTACCACCCGGGAAAGGCCAACGTGGTGGCCGATGCGCTTAGCCGCACGGCGGCGCCGATCAATGGTATGTGCATGAGGATGACCGTGGTGACTGATCTGTTGGAGCAGATCTGAGAGGCTCAACAGGAGGCTATCAAGGAGGAACATCGAAAGAGCGAACGTATGGTGGGTCAGGTTTCCTCCTTCGATTATGATAGCCGAGGACTATTGACACTGCACCGCAGGGTGTGGGTGCCGTATCATGGAGGCGTGCGTCAGATCTTGATGGAGGAGGCGCACAAGTCCCGATTCTCTATTCATCCTGGGGCGCCGAAGATGTATAGGGATCTTCGTCTAGATTATTGGTGGCCCTGCAAGAAGCGGGATGTGGCATGGTACGTCGAACGGTGCTTGACCTGCAGGAAGGTCAAGGCCGAACATTAGAGACCGCATGGGAAGATGCAGCCGTTGGACATCCCGTTGTGGAAATGGGAAGACATCACGATGGATTTTATCACAAAACTTCCCAGGACTGCGCGCGGAGTAGATTCGATTTGGGTCATCGTGGATCGATTGACCAAGAGCGCCCATTTTATTCCGATCCAGGAGAGCATCTCGGCCAAGAAGTTCCGATATCTACATCAGGGAGATAGTATCGCGGCACGGGGTGCCGGTGTCAGTAATATTAGACCGAGATGTGCGATTCACTTCCAGATTTTGGAAGAAGTTTCATGACGAGTTGGGCACTCGTTTGCATTTTAGCACCGCCTTTCACCCGCAGACGGATGGTCAGAGCGAGCGGACCATCCAGACTTTGGAGGACATGTTGCGGGCATGTGTGTTAGATTTCGGTGGTAGCTGGGATACCTATCTTCCCTTAGGAGTTCTCATACAACAACAGCTACCACGCGAGTATTGACCGACCACCATTCGAGATGTTTTACGGGCGGAGGTGCAGAACCCCGATATGCTGGGGTGAAGTTGGCCAGAGAGTCATGGGAAGCACCGAGGTGGTGCTCGAGACGACCGAGAGGATCCAACAGGTTCGGAGCAGACTTCAGACTGCTCAGAGTCGGCAGAAAAGTTACGCCGACAAGCGTCGATCCGACTTGGAGTTCCAAGTCGGGGATATGGTTCTCTGAAGGTGTCGCCTTGGAAAGGCATCATTCGATTCAGGAAGCGGGGAAAATTGGGCCCGAGATTTATCGGACCGTTTAGGGTGGTAGCCCGGGTGGGCAAAGTGGCGTATAGATTGGAGCTGCCAGTCGAGCTCAACCAGATCCACAACACTTTCCATGTCTCTCAGCTGCGGAAGTGTTTAGTGGATGATTCAGTAGTGGTGCCGTTGGAGGATATTCAGGTTGACGACAGCCTGAATTACATTGAGCGCCCAGTCGCGATCCTCGACAGGAAGTCGAAGGATTTGAGGAACAAAAGGGTGGAGTTAGTGAAGGTGCAATGGCAGCACCGGAAGGGTTCGGAGTGGACTTGGGAGCCGGTGGATGAAATGATGGAGCATTACCCCGAGCTGTTCCAGGATCGAGCAGCAGACTTCGAGGACGAAGTTAAAATAAGTGGGGGAGATTTGTAGCGCCTGGTTCCTGGTATGTAAATCTTAATTGAGTATTTTTCCTTTTTAAGCCTTGGACTCGGCGAGTCATAGGTCCGACTCGCCGAGTAGGGACGAGACCCGGGACACGTTTAAGTTGGCGACTCGGCGAGTCCATATCCTGGACTCGGCGAGTCACCGCTGTTGGATGAAACCCTAAGTTTCAGGGGTTTGCACCCTATTTAAGCAACATATCCGCCCCAAGCCAGCCCCCATTCACCCCCCAGAGCTCCTAACCCTCATTTAAGCTTGTTCTTTGAAGAGTTGAAGTAAGTGTTGGTGTTTTTGAAGGTTTTGAAGAAGAAGGGAAGTAGATCTAGAAGAAGGGGAAGCCATCCAAGCACCATTGTGTTCTCTCAGCAGTTCCACTGAGGTATATCTCGTTTTTCCCTTGTTTCCATGCTTATTGCTTCATTTAAGACATTCTTGAGCCATTCCCCAAGCTTGTATGTGCATAATGTTCCGAAATAAGCCGATTGGTCTCTTGATCCAAGCATAGTTGAGCTCCAGGAGCTCAGATCCACTACCTTTATGAGCCCATATTGCACATAAACCTTAGATCTACTCTTTTGGTGCATTTCAAACCCTAAAAACCCCATAGATGGAAATTTACACGTAAAGTTGGATACTTTACGTATTATTCATGCTCTAGGAGCCCAGATCTACGAATGACATGGATTGGATTCGAGCAAAATTGCATTTTTAGCTCTTGCATGGAACGGACTCGACGAGTCGCTCATCTAACTCGGCGAGTCCAGTCGCGAGTCTCCGGGTTTGCCCCCTTTTTGTTATGTCGAGTCGTGAGGTGAGTCCAGGAGGGACTCGGTGAGTTGGTAGCCAAAACTCACCCATAATGGAACTCGGCGAGTCGATGCCCTGACTCGGCGAGTTCAAGGCAATCTCCTTAGATCAAGATCGGACTCGGCGAGTTGTTCATACAACTCGGCGAGTCGCAGCATAAGTGTTCATCGGATGAAGATGAACTCGCCGAGTTGTTCATACAACTCGGTGAGTAGGATGAAGGACTTGAACATCAGTTTGGATGGAGAACTCGTCGAGTCAACGCCTAACTCGACGAGTAGAAACAAAATCCCGGATAGTCGTTTGGACATGGACTCGACGAGTTGGATAGCCAACTCGGCGAGTCGGGTCAACTGGAAGTTGACTCTGACTTTGACTTAGGGCATGGTCGGGGGTAAAAGGGTCATTTCACCCAAAAAGGCAGTAAATAGTGATTGATTGAGTATATGTGGGAATTACAGCCGGAGGATTCCCGGAGTAGCAGCAGCAACAGCAGACAGTCGGTTCCCACACACACCAGCAACCATTTCGAGGTGAGTTTCCTTTCAGTAGTAACGGGTCTAAGGCACCAAGGCCGGCCCGTATAGACGAGACGTTAGTATTAGAGTGTGGGCCGAGCCCGTATCTCTTAATTGAGTGATTACGATATATGCTAGTATGATAGAGTTGTCTAAACTTGTTGTCTGTGTGATACTTGTATGATATGAGTTGGCGGTTGAGTGTGGGCTAGGCCCGTATCTCTGCGAGAGTGGAGTGTGGGTAGGCCCGTATCTCCCAGATAGTGAAGTGGGGCAGGGCCCGTATCTTCACGAGTGTGGGCGTGGCCCGTATCTCCCAGATAGCGAAGTGTGGGCAGGGCCCGTATCTTCACGAGTGTGGGCAGGGCCCGTATCTCATAGTTGAATGTTGTTTGTTATATGCTTGCATGGTATGGGTATTATGGGGGAACTCACTAAGCTTTGTGCTTACGGTTTGCAGTTTTGATTTCAGGTACCTCTTCAGCTAGGGGAAAGGAGCCGGCGCGGTAGCAGCATATCACACATACGCCTTTTGTTTCCGATTACAGATTTTCTGGGATGTACTCTGAATTCTGATTATGATGTCACCGGTTTTTTCAGACATG